ATCACCAGGTTAGGCACTGGGATGGTACCATACTTGCTCTGAGAAGCCTGCACTTTGGCGGGGTCAGCACTGACTCTGCTTTCGAAGCAGAGTGTAAGTGAATGTCTCATCGTGCCGTGGCAGGGGGACCAGGGACAGAATCCTCTGCGGGGTCCCAGCAGGCCAGGCTGCCCTCCCTCTGCTCAGTGGTGATGAGCCACGGGTGCTCTGTAAATTCTTGACACGTAGTTTAGACATTACCTCTCTGAAACTGCCTACTTACGTCTCGTGGGAGATTAATCAGTGCTCATAAGGAATATCCTATATGGTTTTGCTGTAAAAAGGGTACAGGCATGTTATTTTTATGAGACCCCGGCAATTGTAAAAACCCTCCGGAATGCCTTTCTTACTCCAAGCTTATGTAAACCGCAGGAGAGACATACAGGCCAGAAGACAGAAGGCCCCTATTATTCCACTTTGGCGCCAGGAAGCATGAATAATTTAAGGGTCATATCTGTAAAGGCACAATGTCAAAAACAAATTGACAACTGTTCTTCGAGCAAACTACGGTTCATTTTCCAAAGGCCAGTGCGGTAAGTTTTCTGAAAGTAAGTTCTGAAACTCTTAACTTCCGAGGTTTACATTTCACACGAGCTCCAGGAAAACACAGTTCGAGCGAGTGTGAAGGGCATCCTGACTCGTGGTAATTGGCATTCCACAAGTATACGATGGCTCAGGAGGGGCCTGGGGCGGTGGGGGGTGTGGGGTGGCCTGTTTCCCCATCAGTCAGCCGGTGTGCAGTGCAAAGCTGCACTTTCAGGTGGCAGAGACAGTTGGCTGATCAGAAAACGTGACTGGGACACAAACCCCTTCTTTCTGAAGGAGGGACAGAAATCTCTGACTCCAGGGCCAGAGACCACTATGCACTCACTTTAGGAGAGCCCGGAGCAACTTTTCCACAATTCTGTTTTGGCCAGGCTGTCTCCCTGCTTTTCAACTGCAGACCTGCCTCCAACTGCACAAATGCAACTTGGTCTCGGCATCTCTGGTGGTGGCATGGTGATCTGAGCACACTCTCAAGCCCAGTGCATTCAACTCCATAGGTGGTGTGAGAGTCAAACTGAAATATGCATAGGTTGGCTTGGAACATGAGAGTCCTGGAGGTGCTGCTGGTTAAGGAAGTGCTCAGTTGCTAATGGACAGTCAGAGCTTTGAACCCACCGGCCTCTCCTTGGGAGAAAGAGGAGGCAGTCTGCTCCTGTAAGGCTATGGACTGGGAACCTCTATGGGCACTTCTACTCAGTCCTGTGGAATTGTTATGAGACAGAGTCTACTCAAAAGCAATGAGTTTTTTGGGATACAGGAAGATTAAACGGGCATTAGCTATTACTATAGTTATCCTCGAAGTCTGAAGACAGGGAAGCCACTACATGGAAGGAGACACCACTTTCCTGGGTCCCAGCCCTGGACATTCAAGTTCTTGACCCAGTGAGATGGTTCTGTGGAAAAGCACAGATAGGGCAGAAGCCCAGGTCCTCATCCCAGCACCAGCAGCTCTGCTTGGACATTTGTCACCTCAAGTGAAGGTCGTCTTCTTCCTCTCCTTCTTCTCTTTTGTAACTGCTACGAGTCAGAACCGAATGGGTGGCAATGGATACTTTTTGAGTAGGTAATCAATTCACTTGTTTTCCAAATCAAAAATGTCTAAGCACACGGTGGCTGGGCTCTGGAGAGAGGTTGCCTGGGTTTAAATTCCAGCTCTGCCACTGGTTAGTTGTGTGACTTCAGGCAAGTCACTACACACTCACATTCAAGTACCCCATGGTGGAGGCGCCCTGGTGGAAACGTGGCTACACATTGGGCTGTGATGCAGAGTCCAGAGCTGGAAACCCCCAGCTGCTCCGCGGGAGAAAGGCAGGGCTTGCTACTCGTGGAAACAGTTTTGGAAACTCACAGGGGAAGTTCTACCCTGTCCTTCTAGGATTGCTGTGAGCTCGCATTGACTCGACGGCAGTGAGTTTTGAGTTTTGACCTCTCCGTTGTGCTGGGAGGTTGGCGGGTAAATGTAAAAGACAGAAAACGGTGCCTGGTACATAAATCCAAAACCCAAACCAGGTGCCGTTGAGTAAACTCCAACTCGCAAAACCCAAAAAAGTCCATTACCACTGGGTGGGTTTAGGTTCATCACCGCCCTCGATCTCAGCGACTCTCAACCTTCCTAATGCTGCAACCCTTGAATACAGTTCTCATGTTGTGGTGACCCCCAACCATACAATTATTTTCGTTGCTACTCCATCACTGTGATTTTGTTACTGTGCTGAATTGGGTGAGCCCTGGGAAAGGGCCATTCGACCCCCAGGTTGAGAACGCCGCTCTCAGGTCTCTGAGGCTGTACATCCCTATGCAGCAGGCAGCTCCATCTCCTCCAGTGACGCACCAGACACTGTTGCATGAGTGGTATTCCGACGCCAGATCAGGCCAGCAGATTCCTTTTGCAGATCCACTGCGAACCCACAGGATGGCCTTCCGAATTGCTCTGAGGGGGACGTGACAGTGGGCTTCGGTGAGAACGGAAATGTCTGGGCAGTTCTACTCTGTCCCGGAGGGTGGCTCACAGTGGGAACTGACCCGACGACAGTGCGTTTGGGGTTTCGCTTGATTTTATAAACAGAAACCCAGCACGCGTGCCAGGATGTCCGTATCATGCCTCCCTTCCTCTCTGATGGTGTAAGTGAATGGTAGGGCTCATGAGTTTTCTTTGACACTTTATAGGAACAGATGGCAACATTATCTGATGATAACAACAGACTTCACTATGCTCTGTTTAAAACCGTGCCCTTAAAATGTAAATTCACTGCCATGGAGTCGATGCCAACTCACAGCTATGCTACAGAACAGAGTAGAGCGGCTGCTGTGAGTTTCCAAGACTGGAACTCTTTACGGGAGCAGAGAGCCTCATCCTGCTCCCACGGAGCAGCTGGTGGGTTTGAATGGCTGTCCTTGTGGTCAGCAGCCAAATGACACCCGAGTTCCTTATTCACATCTAAAGATTAGCCAAACAGGAAAAAACAGGGTTCTTTTGAATGGTATTAATTGGCTCCACGCCACCCGGGCATATCAGAAAAGGGGAAAGTGAGTCAATCCCATCTAACCAGAGTGCTGGGTGTCAGGCTGGGGACTGCCCTATGAAGTTCATCCGTAACTCTGTCCTTGCTGACAGCTCTTTACTTTCAGCACACCCAAGCTCCCCACATCACAGCTAGGATTGACAGGGGTGACTTTGAGACATCGTCTGAGCCCGCATCACTAAACGGATCCTGGGTGTCTGCTCAAGGACTGCACGCTTGCTTCTCGTGGCTTATTCGGGACACTGCACATAACCTACTATCTGCTTCCCCTCAGCAAGGTCTCCTCCTGACAGCTAGGATCCTATCCTTCTGTCATCAGTAATTATAAATGCACACCTCTAAAAAGGCTCCCAATTTGAGCAGGCATCGTCTAGTTTCGACGGTGAACCACAGCGACATCGCCATCCCTTGGGGGGCCAGAAGGCACAAGTCAGGAGCCTGAGCTCACACTTGGAATCCTCCAGTCCTGAAGCCCCATGGGAGGCTCTACTTTCTCCCTGGGGCGGTTTGGAAAAATAACTGGCACCTCTGTTAGAGCAATTCATATTGGTTTCTCGTCCTTTTTTGTTTTTAAACTTCAGACACAGTGCTTCCATCTTCAAATTCAACCCAGACAATGGTCTCACTGAGTCCTCTCTGAGCCTATTTGTCTCTCCAATTAGGCACTTTAGATCGCCCTGCCCTTGCCCCAGCCCAGCCCCTCTGATTTTCACCACAGACTTTTTTCTGCACCCATCTTGGCACACCTGATAATCATGCTCTCTGCTCACAACTGGAAATGAATGGCTTTCACCAACAAAAAAACCCAGGTCAAAGTTAATTTCCATATTAATTTTCCTTCACCTTAATAATGGCTATCATTGTTACGTGACAGCCTTTGTTTTCATGAAAACTTGGATCTTGTGACGTCAGAGGATCTATAATAATAGTGTGGTTAGGCGTTGTTCTAAGGAATTCATGTGTGCCACCTCACTGATTCTTCAGGAAAAACTCTTCAGATGCAGATGATCTATTACAACTCTTCTGTTATAGCTGTGGTAGCCCAAATGCCTCGCGGTGACACAACCAAACACAGGGAGAGCCAGGCCACAGAAGGAGGTCTACGGAACATCAAAGCAGGCTCTTACATGCTAACCTACCAGGGAGCATCGTGCCAAAATCCAGTACCTTTGATTCCATTACACCACCCACCCCCTCCCCTGACAAAGTTTTTGATGCCTCCTTGAATTTTACTCTGGAATTGAGTTTCAGAAGAACAAGGATAATTTCTCTATCATATTCTTTTTAGTTGCAAAGGACTTGTGGTTCGAGAACAATGACACACAGGTTGCCTCATCTCAGGTGTGCAGGCTCCAGGCCTGAGCATTTAATGGACACAATGGCATCTCAAAGGGACCGGCTTTCTCTATTCAGAAGAGCCAGTTCTTTGCATCTTTTTAAGGCAGCACGTTTTTTCAATGTCCCACCTTGAGCACAGGAACTTCCTGAGGAATCCGGATGCTGCTCGGTTGGCTGCTTACTGGGAGGCACGATGGGCGGGCTGAACATGTTTAACCAGTCCCTGAAAAGGAAAGAGCGGGAATGAGCCATAGGTTGGGAATTCCACAGGAAGGGCTGACTTTTGTCTTGGATGGTTCATTCCCTGGGCATTCCCCAAACACACATTTCTCCTCCTTCATATTTCGGAGTGGCAAAGCGGTCTGGCTGCTTAAGAAGGCGGGCCCCCATCTGATGGCCCTGCTATACCTGGGTGCCTTCTGCAGTTAACTTGCATACTTAAAATTTTTCCTTTTAGTTTTCATTTTATTGCCTTGTATTCTCCATCTGTTAATAAATTCAATGTCTCTTTGTCTTTGGGGATTGGAAACACTGCGTATAAACTTACAGACATGATGACATTCGTAAATCATGTACTGCAATGTTGTATTGCAGTGCATATCACTAATGATAAGGGGTACCCCCCCCCCAAAAAAAAAGGCAGTTGTAAGTGCAGTTCATGTGATGCGTTTAGGTCATAAGTCAGGAAACACCTGTATTCAGTTTTGCCGATTGGTTACTTTGAAGTCAATCACTTAACTCAGTTGTTCAATAAATAGATTATTTAATGATGAAGACAACTCTTCTGTTTCCTATTGTTTCTCTCACATAGGAGAGGAAATTGTTTCACTAACTGAGAAGAAACACAGTGCCACTCCTTATGACCTTTGGGTAAGAAAGCTGGAAGTCACGTGGGTCTTTTTACGGACGGCAACTTCCACGTGATGATTCAAAGGGAAGTTAGGCTCTGAGCTATCCTGAATCAGCGCAGAGGCGGGAGTCGGTGTGCCTACTTCTGGGCTTCAGAGAGGCAGAGGGCCGAGGAGGGAAGAGTGGGGGTGTCTGGCCCTTGAGTGATTTATTACTATGAGTGGTGGTAAACCCACTCCAGAAAGCACCTCCTACTTTCTCTGGCCCTCTGTCTTAAATTCCCAACCTCAGTTCCCATTTCCCCTTTCTCCTCCATGCCTTCAATCACCCCACTTCCTCAGGTGAGTGCGCTTCAAGTGGGTGGCCGTCAGAAGGCATGAATCACAGAGCCTTCTCCTTCAAGCGGTTCTCATCTCTAAATTTACCACTGGACTTCTTTCGTGGAAAGGAGCTGGCAGGGGAGTGTGAAGGGCTTTTCATCATGAAGTCGATTTCTCAGAGGCTCGTCCTGCACCATCTACTTTATTCTTCTCAACAGGAGTGGGAGAGAGGCGAGAGGGTCTACACATGTAAAGACTCCCAGTCTGGGAGAGCCTAAGGAGAGTTCTACTCTGTCCTTCGGGGTGGCTAGGGGTTGAAGTCAACTTGATGGCAGTGGAGTTGGTTGGGGTCGCAACAGGAGCATGTCTTCTTGGTGAAAGAATTTCTTTCTAATTTTTTTTCTTCTATTTACTTCTGGCTTTACCTATAATGGGAGCAGTCTCAACCAGCAGTGAATAATTTTGGCCCTCCAGGGCAGCTGTGGCTCCATGTTTACTACCATGAGATCCTGGCCAAGTCATTTAACATCACTGAGCCTCATCTAACGTAGGGAGAGGGTAATAATATTTCAGAATGTTGTTGTCAGAAATAAAGTCAAACAAATACAGATTAGAAAAAACAATCGGGCATGGATCTGGATAAAATTAGTGTTCAATAAGTGTCAGTTCAAACCACCATCATATTCATGATCATGATGTGGCCTTTCCTACAATGATAAAACAAGGCCTTGTTTAAAGGGTGGCATAATGATTACACATCCACCCAGTAGAGGTTTTCCTGGAAGTCATTCACTCTTCCAGTTAAAAAAGTACTTTCATGTAGAAACCACCACTCCATTATGACTGGTGAGCAAAAAGCAAGGTGAACATGCTGGGTAATTAAATTTCATAACACCACATTAAGAAAGGATTTGTCGCAGACTTCTAACTAAACTAATGGGCATTCTCTGATAAGCACTGCAAAACTCTGCACAAAGGCAGCAGTAACTCCTACCTACCTACCTATCATCTGTCTATAATATTTCTATCCATTTACCTATGGGTCATATTTGGTCTGCTGCTGCAGGCTGTGGTAAGCCAGTTTGACTAGAGAGACAAATCCAGTGACACTCATATACGTGTAAGAAAGAGCTTTACATCAAGAAGTCATTGTATATCAAGGAAACATCCCAGCCCAGTCCCACTCAAGTCCATAAGTCTGATACTAGTCCAGAAGCCCCTCTTCAGAATCATACAGCCACATGCAATGATGCAGAATGCAGGAAGATCATAGCTAGTGGGTGCAAAGTCTCGTAGACCCAGTGGCAGTGGCTCTAGCAGCATCAGGGTCAGCCAGAAAGAAGGTAAAGGCAGAGAGAGAAAGGGGAGGTTCCCATGACCCTCCTTATGAGAAGGCATGCCTACAAGGAGTCACCCTCAGGCTGCGACCAGATGGGCAGGCTAGACTCCACCACTACACTTTAATATATCATCAAGTTGACATGAAATTACGTAACCACCACACTGGTTGACCAGCTCATCTGTTTGTATTCTTGAAGAGATTCCCTGGTTTTGAAGCTATCTAAAATCTTGCAGACATTTAAATATTTGTTTGGCGGAACAATTATCTGAGAAATAAAAAACCTGACAGTAGTGATCACACGGCTGCCATTTACATTTACTTATTGAGGAACCAACCCAGTAGCACACTTTGCACGGGATGCCTTATGTGAAGAATTAAGCATTCTACCCCAACATATGTCCAGCACTTAGTGATATTTATCATTCGCCTTGGGTGTACTACATTTCTTATTTTCTGGAAGAAATTTAGGTTGAAAAAATCTTCCACAGTCTAGAGAACAGACTCGGGAGGGACTATCCTGTCTTTGCAAGATCACAGAATCCTTTAAAAAGTTGACGGAAACCACAGGCTGTATTCCCAGAAAAATGTCCATAAATTAGAGGGCATTTTTCAGGGGTTCAGAGGTCCTCTAATGCCCATTTCTAGATTTCTGGCTCTTAAATGATGAACTTCTATGTTACGGAATGTCATGGAATGAGGTCTCAAGGAGAATAAAATCTGTTACACAAACCTTTTCTGCAAAGGACCGGCAGTAAGTAGGGTAGGTTTTATGACCCATATAACATACGCTACAACAGCTCTGCTATCTAGCGCAAAAACAGCCTAAGATATTAGGTTAATGAATGGGCACAACTGTGCTCCACTAAAATCATATTTACAAACATAGGCAGTAGGCGAGGGTATTACAAATTGTTTTCCCCGACCCTACTTGTGGATGTAATTATGTTTGGGAACAGGGTTTTTTTTTTTTTTTTGCTATGTTAACTAGATCAAATCTGAGCAAGGTGGATTCTAAATATAACAATTCTGAGATAGGAAAAGAGCAGAGTAGACACAAAGATATGATCACATTGGGGAGGCGATGAGGAAGAACAAAGACAGACTCCATGCAAGGACTGTCTAGAAACCAAGGAGCCAAGACACATCGGGGTTTAGCTACAAGTACGAAACCAACACGGCCAAGAGCTTGACTTTGACTTTCAGGCCCCAGAACTGTTGGAGAAGAAATGCCTGCATTTAAAGCCATCTCCTTGTGGTATCTCGGTTTCCGCAGCCCTAGGAACCGAGGATCGGGAGACTGGGCCCAGGGGCTGTAGTTTATGGTGCTGGGTTTGAAGAAGAAAAATCCAACAGAAGTTTTTATGCTTTCCTTGGCTATTCTTGTTAGTTTTTAATAAAAGGTTTTTCCTGGATATGAAATTAACTCTAAAGAGGCAGTAACTAGTTCCTGGGGGCCTGATAGGGGAAGTTGGGGGCAAAATGGCTAGCTAATAATGATGAGAACAAGAATAAAGAAAATGTTCCAAACCCGACTGTCGTGATGACTGTGTGACTCGACTTGATGTGATTGAACTAGTGAAATGTATGTTACGTCAATTATATACCAATAAAAGTCAGGGGAAAAAAGAAAATCTAAAACCAGACCCACTGGCCTTGAGACATAGTGTCCCTAAATGCCCTAAATGACAGAGGAGAACTGCCCTGTTGGGTTTCTGAGACTGTGATTGCTGTTACGCACCATTGAGTGGGCTCCAACCCATAGCGACCCCGTGCACAACAGAATGAAACACTGCTGGTCCTGCGTCACCCTCACAATTGTTCCTGTGCCTGAGCCCATGGCAGCAGCCACTGTGTCAGTTCATCTCATCCAGGGCCTTCCTTTTTCCCCACCCTTTCACTTTACCGAACATGATGTCCTTCTCCAGGGACCAGGCTCTCCCTGACAATCTGTCCAAAGCATAAGATGCAGTCTTGCCATCCTTGCCTCTAAGGAGCACTCTGTTCTTATTTCTTCCAATACATATCAGTTTTCCTTTTAGCACTCCATGGTATTTTCAATTTCTTCTCCAGCACCACAATTCAAGTGCATTGATTTTTCTTCAGTTTTCCTTATTTAATGTCCAACTTTCACATGCATATGATGCAAAGAAAACTACCCTGGCTTGGATCAGGCTCACCTTGGTTGTCATAGTAACACCTTGCTCTTCAATACTCTGAAAGAGGTCTGTGCAGCAGATTTACCTAATGCAATACATGCTTTGATGCTGCTTCCACGAGCATTGACTGTGGATCCAAGTTAAGACCAAATCCTTGACAACTTCAACCTTTTCTCCATTTATTATGATGTTACCTCTTGGATCATGTGGTAGTTATATAATCTGTTGTCAATTTAAGAGGATTAAGACTGAAGGGGTGGAGTTTAGCCTGCCAATCAGGTTGCAGCTTGAGAACCTCATTGGAGGAGCCACAGAGATAAATAGCTCGCTGGAGGCAGGACACAGACAGACTCCCTGCGAGACATGCTTGCTGACATGACACATGGAGCTACTTTGGAGTCCTGGAACTGAAGGAGTCATGTGGAGAGCCCTGCCAGTGCTGAGATGCTCACACTGCCACTGGATCCACAAGACCTTCCACCTGCTGGCCTGTGATCTTCCTGTATTCAGCGACATTACATGTGTTTTATGAGTTTGAGAGGGCTTTATAGATTGG